GTAACTTAAAGAAGTCCAGACGCTTTTCTTTGCAAGCTCCTTTGACTACGATGACCTGGATGACTGAGAACCATCACAGACATAATAAATGGCCGTTATTTTATTAGGTTACACACGTGAAAAACTCCCCAAAAAACAACTTAGTCATAAACTTGGACACTTCTCTCTTATACAGGACCTTTTTAACCTTAACATGTTATAGAATATGACTAATCTAAAGGGACACTTTCACTTTCATTCTTAGTAGTGTACTGACCTGTTTATTTGAACAATGGCGCCGCCAACTATTGTTAAACTGTAACCGTTGAATTATTTCAACATTTGAAAGACCTTGAGCTAAAATACATTTTGTGATGTTCTTAGCACATCTGGTTGCAATTTCAAATGCAGTGTTGTCATTCAAAGAGAATCCAAACACATAATTTAAACATAAAATAAATTTTAATTACCTGCATTGATCTGTGTCAGTTGAAGAATGATAACAGAGTGGAAAAACACTGTAGTCCATACACTGAGTCGAGATTTAGAGGATCGTCTGTCCTTGTGTTGAGGCATTGTGTGCTGCAAAAAAATTCAAATACAGTACAGTTGTAAGACATTGTCTTTTACACTGGAAATGAAATTATGGTGAGAAAAGTTGAGGATATCTTACTGTTGGCTTACTTTTCAATCAGCAAGTTCAAAGTCAAGTCCTTAAATCAAATAACCTGTCCTGCACCTGCTCGATCTGTCTTATCTCTCAGTCTATTAAAATCTACTCTGTGCAAAAACAAACCACACCTGTTGTCTGATATAAAATGTTGTTCAGGGACTGACTTCAGGCATGTACACTGTTCTGAACTAGATACATAGTGTCACATATGAGTTAAGAATACATTACTCATTAATGATCAAGTTTACACTAAAGATAAATCTTACTGTACTGTAGTTATTCCTTGTTTTTAGCTCCTTCTATAATGGGTTACATATAAATAAAAGGCTGTACTTTGACCCAGTTGCCAGGTAACTGATTACCGCGATTATAAAGCACCTGTGAGGCAGTGATATGAGCTGAAAGTGAATTGTTGTGTCGAGAGACACTACACAAAAAATAATAATGCAATCAAATCAACATTGTTTAGATTTTTGTACACAAAGGTGTCGAAATGATGCAAAATGCAGTCCTGAGGAGGGCATGAGGGTTTTAACAGTGGAGTAAACAGTAGTCACACCCCTGTGGTTCACTCACAACAGTAACATTCCTGACATTGTACTAATGCCTGACTATCACACTCACCACAACTCATCAAAGTGATATGTTATTGTCAGGATAACCGGTTTTGTTTTTGTTTTTTCAGCATGAACCAGGAGTCTAGTGCTGCTACAATATTTTCCTTTGAAAGTAAAAAAGTAAGCTCTCTAGCTTTGATTGACAGAGTGCAGAACAAACCTGATGACTCCAAAGCTTAAAATCAACCAAACACCTCCAAACATTCAGGACTTTTTCTGAGGAGGAAACTGTCTCTGCCCCCAAACAGCTGAAAAGTCGTGTTAACTGATGATTGTCACAATTCAACACAGACAGGTGCAAACTCAGTTTAATTCAACAAATGTGCTTAATCTTCAGTCGTTTCCGACAGCTGAGCTTCTGAGTTTGTATCAAGCAGTCATTTTCAAAGAAGAAACTGAAACAATTCATGTGAGTTGACTCCACCCACTCAGTAAACAGCAGACCAATCAGCAGCAGTCTGTGGGTATGTGGCTGTCTTTACAGAAAGAAAATCTGAGAAACCTGCTGCTGCAGTCAGCTCTGTGTTTTATCTCTATTTGGCAAATACATTAAAGAAAAGCACAAAGGCTCAGCCAAGGCTGGAGGTGACCCATTAAACACTCACCAGGAACACATAAGCTTAGACTATGACCTTTTATTTTGAAATTAACCTGCTCTCACACTTTTAACAACTGGCAATCATTTGTCATCTTATATGTGCTCACAGTTTGACAGAGAAAAAACAGTCTGACTTTAT